TAAAACCCTAGTGAACTACTTCTGAAAAATAACTGAAAGTCCTCTGGATCACAGCTGTACTCTGCACACACAGGGTCTCCATGACTGAGAATCAACTCCACAGCAACTACTTGGTTTTTCTCTCAGCAACCCTATCACCACACTGGCCTCAGTTTCTTCATACCTCACTGCACCCTCTGTGTTTTCTCTGCCACCCTTTCTTCATCTGTTGGAGGGCTCCAGGGTTAGTTTTTGCCTCTTTTGCTATATTCCGTAAGTGATCTCACATAAGCTTATGGTTTAAAGGGATCAAATAACTTTCCAATTTATACCATCCAAGTTTGACCTTGCCTTAAAGTAGTTCTGATGGCACGGTGCCTAAGGCATTTGATAGCTAACCAGAAGGTTGGTGGTTCAAACCCATCAGCCACTCTGCAGAAGAAAGATGGGACAATCTACTTTTGTAAAGGTTTACCACCTTGGAAACCCAGTGTGTGCTGCTATGAGTCAGAATCGACTCGATGGCAGTGGGTTGGGTTTGGTTTTTCAGAACTCCCTAGAAAATTCCATCTTGATTTTGAAAAGGCATTTTAAAAAACAAAATGGCTGAAGTAATTGATTTCCTACCCAACCTCCTCCACCATTCTTCCTTGTCTTCCTTACCTTTGTAAATGACAGCAGTACCCACCCAGTTGCTCAAAGCACAAAACTTGGAATTTTCTTTGCTTTCTCTCTTTCCCTCACACTCACACCCATTGTATATCCCGAATCCAACCATGTCCCCATTTCCAATGCTATAGCTTTAAGCCAAGCAAACACCATCTTGCATTACCCCAATGGCCTCTTAGTCAGCTTTCCTCCTCACCAGTCTCGGCCTACTCCTGTCCATCCTCCATGCAGCAACCAGAGTGGGCCTTCTAGAACATAAGTCAGATTCCCTATCACCTCCCTCTTTAAAACCTACCTGTGGCTCCCACTGACGCCAGAAAGAAATATCAACCACTTACCAAAGCTACAATCCTTCTCAAAGCTTCTACAAGAACTCTGACTTTACCTCCTTCCACTCTCCCTGCAGTCCATTGTCGGAGCCACATGGATCTTTCTGTTCCTAAAACTCTCCAAACTCTTTCCTTCTCAAGGCCTTTGCACTTATTCTCTCTTCCACTTGGACATTCTCCTCTCAGATCTTTCACAGTTATCAGTACCTGAAATTACCCTTTTCGTGTATTTGTGTTGGAATTTCCTTCCTTCTCTTCCTCCAACAGGTTATTATAGAGTCAAATCTTGTTTACAGCTGTATTCCAGAGCCTGCATTAGGACAGGGCTCATAGCAGGAACTTATACATTTGCTGAATGTTTTTTTGACTGTGAGGAGCATAGATAAATTGTTAGAGCTGGAAAGGATTTTAGAGAAACAGTCCAACCTCCTTGTTTCACAGATGGGAAAAGAGAGGCACAGTGAGAGTTTCTTGCCCAGCGGCACTCTAATATCAGCCAAGTTAGGTTCTTTTTCATAAGCAATAGTAGCCACTAACCGTGAGAGTTCTTTCCCCCTACAATCACCCTCACAGGTTATCGTGAAAGCAGATCTTAAACCAAATTCTGCTTCCTGGACAAATAAATATCTACAAAGCAAACGTGATTACCAAGCAGCCACAAAACCAGTTCATACAACCTGTTCTGTATACTCAGTGAAAGCCCGGATTTCTGTCCTTTTAGATGCTTCACCATCTTGCAAGAAGGTCGGCTCAGGGCAGATATACAATATTGTAGAGGCAGATTCAGTTAGACCGATGGTTGCATCGGGTAACTGGAATGTCCCGGCACACAAGACGCCTCAAGGATTTAGCCCAGTAAACAGCCCCTAAGTGCAGCTCAGGGCTCGCTGGCTTCCTTTACTCTGAATGAGCTATGAGTGGTGCAGCTAACTACTTCAACCAATCTACATTTTTTGAATACTATTCATTTCACCCGGAGCCCTGGTGCCACAATGGTTAAAGTACTTGGCTGCTAACCAAAAGGAAGTTTAGCAGTCTGAACTCACTAGCCATTCCATGGGAGAAAGATGTGGCAGTCTGTTTGAAACCCTATGGGGAAGTTCTATTCTGTCCTATAGGGTCTTGATAGGTTAGAATTGACTTGATGGCAATGATTTTATTTTTTTTTTCCTTCATTCACCAAGTGAAAAACCAAATCCACTGCCATCGAGTCGAATCTGACTCATAGTGACCCTCACTGGGTTTCAAAGGCTGTAAATCTTTACAGAAGTAGATTGTCCCATCTTCCCATGGAGCAACTGGTGGGTTTAAACTGCTGACCTGGTTAGCAGCCAAATATCTTACCCACTACACCACCAGGGAAAGCACATTTCTAATGCCTGTTATGCTAATGAAAGAGGTGAATTCATTATGGTATTATGATGATCATCAGTGCAGCCCCTGGGTTGAACTGAGTAGGAGAGCTTTAGCCATGTGCTGGACCCAGTTTGCTACTAGCCCTCCAGAGCCTATATTATGTGTGTCTCTTCTTAATTCCATGTTCAGTGACTTCAAGTTGGTAACATGAAATCAGACATGACCTGAGTATTTGTATGGTGGAAATTGGGAACAGGTCCACCCCATCAGATCCAGTTATTAAACATTTACTAGCCAAGTGACCTCTGGGGTGTGGCTGATCACCTTGTCCTCATTGCTGTGTCTAGAGAAGAAATGATCAATCCTGGCTGTACTTCAGAAATTTCCTGGGGAGCTTCAAAATAATACCAACTCCCAGGTTCCTGTCAGAAACTTGTTAACTGGACTGGGGTGGGGTTTGGATATTAGGATAGCAAAAGCTCTTCAGATGATTCTAATCTGCAGCCAGGGTCACAGTCACACCTGTCTGTCACAGTATCTATGCCAAATTTACTAACAGTCCCACAAAAAGTTAATAGGAAACCCAAGATTAGCACCAGGCTGCTGACCCTCCAGACCAGAGCTCTAGGCAAAAGGAAAGACATTTGAAAATAGGTTGTCACTTCTGAGGTCTCAGTGTTTGCAAATGTAGCTGAGAGAAACCCTTAGTACCTGGAGTAGGGGCTGATCCCTGAGGAGAGATGAGGTTGGGGAAGATTAATGAAGGAAAGATGTTGCACTGGGCTCCTTTGACAGAGGGTGTCTCTCCTTCATGTCTCGGGGCATCTTATAGAGGAGGGGAGACTGAGGGAGAAGCTCAGGGAGACATGGGAGAAGCTGTCCAGAAGTATAATATGTCCCTAGGGAATATTTGAGAGCTGAGAGAAAATGCAGCTAGTTAAGGAGGTCAGAACTAAGGCCAGGGGCTACTGGTAAGAAAACCAAGGTAGGAAAGGGGCATGGGTAGCTGGGGCTACAGTTTAAATATAAGGAGTGGGGAAAGAGGCTAGCTCTATCCAGTGAGAAGGAGGCTAACCCCTTGGGTTAGGGTAAAAGGCTAGCCCCTTAAAGAGCAAGGTGCTAAACCAGCCCTCCAGAAGGTGGAGGGAGCCCTAGCTTGCCCAGGGGTGGAAACAGAAATTAGTCCCTCAAAGAGTGGTCTGTGAGGCTAGCTCTGCAAAGCCAAAGGAAGAGACTAGTCCCCCATGGAGGGGTAAGAAGGTAGTCCTCCTCAAAGACAGAAGGACACTTTTAACACTGCTGTAAGATATTTGTTTTCAGCCCTCAGTGATTCATTTGACAGTAACTTGCTGGTGGCATAGTGCATAAGGCATTTGACTGCTAACCAGAAGGCTGGGAGTTCAAACCCACCAGACACTCCTTGCAGGACGATTGGGCAATCTACTTCCGTAGTGATACTGCCTCAGAAACCCAAGGAGGGGTCACTATGAGTCGGACCCGACTGGGACGGCTTTTTTGTTTGTTTGTTTGTTTTGCAGCTGACCCTGGCTCTATTTCTCTCCCCCAAACATCCTTGCTCAGTCCTTTTATACCAGGAAACGGCCTCCCCACATCCAACTTTACGTTCTTCCTCCTGGGGCCAAGTCTTAGGAGCTGGAGCGGACCTAGTCTCAGGCTGTCTCTGTCTTCTGTGTAAACGGGAGCTTGTGAGCCCCAGGGCAGAAACTTGGACTTGATTGTCATTCCTGGAGTCACCACTAGAGACCCGATCCAGTACCCACTAGAGCTCCTGCCCTCTGGGCCACACATTTAACGACTGAATGCCACAAACACAGATTGTCTGGCTTCCAAGCCTCAGGCTGACTAGCTCAGGGAGGCGGAGAAATAGCGTTAACTAAAGCAGAGACCATCTAGCGGGGAAGACAGACCCAAGGCCACCTCTGACCCCAGTCATCGAAAAGAACAGGCCAGGAAGAAACCTGGTCAGACCCAGTTGAGGGTGTGCAAGGACCAGGGAGCCACTGACCTGGCCTAAGAAAAGGTGTGGGGGAGGGCTTCCCGGAGAAAGAGGCCCCTAAGGGCAAAGGAGAGGATTCTGTGAGATCTTTTGGGCGAAAGCCTCGAGCGGGTCATCTGTTACAGGAGAAAACTCCGTGCCCCAGCGCGGTGGGGACCCCTCGACGCTCCCCGTCGCCCCCACCCCAGAGTCTGTTGCACCTTCCTAGATGCACACATTGTGCTCGCTACTCCGCCCCCCCTCAGGATGTGCAACTCCACTTCCTTATTCCATCGCCTTGCACAGTCATTTGCACACTTTGAACACCTTGGCAGTTAATTCTTCTTTCTCCATATCCTTCCCTCTTGAAAACAGTCCAAAGCCCGCATTTAAGCAGCGCCTTATATGTATCCCGGAGCAGGTATGCTCACTCTCTCCCCCGCGCCGGGCTCCACGCCATTATCATTAGTGTTTCCAGTGTGCCACCCAAGCTCTTTTGCAACGCCCTCGCCCCCTCCTCTCGGTTCGCCTTCTCCAGTGGCAGGGACCGCAGCCCCGCCCCTGGCCCGCCCCCTCCCAGGGCTATGCCGCCGCTTCGCTCCCATTGGCCACCGGGGTTGGCAACCTCCCCCGCTGGGGCAGTGATTGCGGCGCGCGGGTGTCAGTCCCGCAGAAAGCGCTGGTGGCCGGGCCGGCGGCCTGGAGACGCAGGTGGGGCCGCGCGCGCGGCAGAGGGACCCAGCCCGGAGCCCGGGAGTCCCGCGGCCCCACAAGGGGAGCGCTCAAGATGCCTCGTGGGGACTCGGAGCAGGTGCGCTACTGTGCACGCTTCTCCTACCTCTGGCTCAAGTTCTCACTCATCATCTACTCCACAGTGTTCTGGGTGAGTGACCACAGCAGGGTTTGGGGGCTTGATGGTGGGGCACACTCTCTTGACAACCGCCATGGCCATCTCAGGCTCGAATCAGAATCAGGGTGGACTTGGGGAGCGCGCGTCTGAGTTTTCATCCCAGTCTTGGAACCGGGAAATCCAGGCTGCCTGAACCCAGCCTTTCAGTCTCTGGGTGGGGAGCATGAAAGTTCGTTGGCGACCGAGCGTCAGGTGGTTCACCTGTGTGCATCTGACACAGGCAGTGTGTTCCGCCGCGCCCTCGGCTGGCTGGACAGGCCGCAGTTTCCGCGTTGGCCGCGCCCACCACGCTTGATGGGAGTGTGCTTCCCGCATCAGTCTGTGTGGAGAAAGTGGTCAGGTTTAGCAGTGGTGGTCGAGAGCCCTGGATTCCGGCTCCTGTCTCTTCTTTTTACTTGCCAGCTGCCCCTGAGCGAGATGAGTTCCCTCTCTGCGCCTTGATTTCCTCATTGGTAGAAGGAGGATGCGCAGCATGATGGGGGGATTCCACGAGGCGGCACCTGGGGAGGACTCCAGCTGCTGCTAGGTGCTCAGTAACTGTCTCCACTGCCATTGGGCTATATACTTCATCTTCCTGCATTGTTTGGGGCAGATGGTAGTAGTGGTTGGAGTATGGGTTGGACAAGGGTTCAAATCTTGCCCCTACCACTTTCTAGCTGTGTGATTTTGGGGAAGTTACTTAATCTCTCTAAACCATAGTTTCCTCATCTGCAAAATGAAAGCATTAAGTGTATTTCACTCAGGATGGTTGTGGAGATTAATGATATAGTCCAGATAAGGTGCTTGCCACAGACCAGTAAAGAGATTAAGAAGTGAGAGCAGTGTGGGATTAAGGCATATAAGGGCCCTAAACACTGACAATTTGTGCTGCCCTCTCCACTGCTTACTCATGAATTCAAAGGGGATATGTGATACACACACACACACACACACACACATATACACATATATACACACATCTCCAAAAAAACTCAAACTCACTGCCATCCAATTGATTCCAACTCATAGCAACCCAAGGTGGTAAATCTTTACTGAGGTAGATTGCCCCTTCTTCCTTCCACGGACTGGCTTGTGGGTTTGAACCGCCAACCTTCTTGTTAGCATTCAAATGCCTTAGGCACTACACACACACACACACACACATATATGTATGTTGTTGTTGTTGTTATGTACCGTTGAGTCGGACCCGACTCATAGCAACCCCTCCTTGGGCTTCCGAGGCAGTATCACTATGGAAGTAGATTGCCCCATCTTCCTTCCGAGGAGTGGCTGGTGGGTTTGAACCGCCAGCCTTCTGGTTAGCAGTCAAGTGCCTTAGGCGCTATGCCACCAGAGCTCCCATGTGTGTATATGTATATATATGTATATTTATATATAGATATAGATATATAAAAACTAAATTCACTGTTGTCTAGTCCATTGAGACTCTTAGCAACCCCTCCTTGGATTTGTGGACCCAAAGAGGGGTCGCTATGAGTTGGGATTGACTCCACAGCAGTGAGTTTGGTTTTTGGGTTTGGATCTCTATGGAAATAGATTGCCCAGTTTTCTTTCCAAGGAGTGGCTGGTGGGTCTGGACCGCCAGCCTTCTGGTTAGCAGTCAAATGCCTTAGGCACTACACCACCAGAGCTCCCATATATGTATATATTTGAAGACTAAGGTATGCCTAACCCAAGCCATGGTATTTTCAGTCACCTCATATGCATGTGAAAGCAAGACAATGAATAAGAGAGACTGAAAAAGAATTGATGCCTTTGAATTGTGGTGTTGGTGAAGAATACTGAAAGTGCCATGGGCTGCCAGAAGAAACGACAAACCTGTCCTGGAAAAAGTGCAACTGGAATGCTCCTTAGAAGTGAAAATGACCAGACTTCATCTCACCTTCTTTGTTCATGTTGTCTGAAGGGACCAGTCCCTGAAAGGATATGCTTGTTAAAGTGAAGGGTCAGAGAAAAAGGGGAAGGTCCTTAATGAGATGGATTGACAATAGCTGCAACTATGGGCTCAAGCATAATAAGGATTTTGAGGATGGTGCAGAACTGGGCAGTGTTTTGTTCTGTTGTACATAGTGTCACTATGAGTTGGAATCGACTGGACGGCACCTAACAACAACAATAACAACATGTATACATATGTTTGTATCTGTGTGCATGTATCTTAGCTATCCATGATGTAACTTCTCTTTAGATGAATGAATTCTGGTGGTGTAGTGGTTAAGGCATTTGGTTGCTAACCACAAGGTCAGCAGTTCAAATCCACCAGCCACTCTATAAAGATTTACAGCCTTGGAAACCCTATGAAGCTGTTCTACTCTGTCCTGTAGGGTTGCTATGAGCTGGAACCAACTTAATGGAGTGGGTTTGGCTTTTTATTTATAAGATTAGTAACTGAATGCAGAAGTAGCATATGCCATTTTAGCAGGATGAGATGATCTGAATTATAAAATTTTTAGAGGCTGCTGGGTACTAAGATTTTTACTATATACCACATTTTCTACAAAAAAGAATATTCCATAAATTCTACAACAATGATAATGAGTCAGTGAACTTAGTTATTTCAACAATTGATGTAAAATTCTGTTTGATCTCCCCATGACAAAAAATTGAATTTTACCCATTTTGTTTTAAATGGTTCATACTTCAATTTTGATGCTTGTTTTGTAATAAATGCTGTATTTACAACTGAACAAATGAAAATAAGACATAAAAGAAAATTTAATGATCAGAAAACAAAGATTACAACAAATTATTATTTTATTTTTAGATACATCTTTCATCTCTAACATGTTGTAATTAAAAACATTTCTATCTTTGCTGCTAAAACTCTTCAACAATTTCATGACAATTAAGCTGCCAAAAATATCTACTTCCATACATAGCAAGGATAATGGATCAAGTCTTTTTAGAATCATTGCTGTATGCTGAGGGTTTTTGAGTCTTTTTAGGGATGAGAATGAGCACTCTGTTGTGTAGTTTGTGATCATTATAGTTAGGATGTACATAAAGCAATTTCAATATTGGGAAATACATATATTTTATCTTCTATTACGGAATCATATTTGCCTACAGGAGTAAAAATGGCCTTTCTTGACTCTGTAAACCTAGTTCTAATTTAATAATGAAATTGTTGCACTTCTCTATAAAGGTTTGTATTAAATCATCGGGATAAGCCTGTGTTAATTTCTTGGATGCCTTCATGCATTCTTCATCAGGCATATCCACATTTTTTAAGAAGGAAAATCTATTTGAAAGAACTTCATATACTTTCTCCTTTCTTTTTATGCAAGATTCAAGTGTGTCAGTGATGGTGTAGTTTGGGGATATTAGAAATTAATCTCTGGCACTCAGTGATACTTTTGGAACACTTCTGTCATTTACTTGTTTCTTTCTAATTCTTCTGTGACAGTAAACTGTTTGATAATCAGTATTTGGCAGTATTTGTTTTATTGTGTTTTCAAAATCTTCTCTTTAATTATGAAAATATCCTGTTAATGACTGGTAGAGATCTGTGCATGTCTTTAAACTTATTTCTGAATCTTGTAGAGCTTGACTCATCCAATGAAAATGCTGTAATATATTATTCCATGTAACCAACGTAAATACATACTCTAACATTTGCATTTTGTTGGCAATGTTTTCAACTTCTCTTTTTGTATCTCCTTTTTGTGTTTGGTCTTCAACAATATTTTCTAAGGCCTCTACAATCTATGAACAATCCCAGGATTGCACTTGTTGCTATAGCATTCACTTCCCAATGTGAAAGACATTTAATACTCAGTCATTGCCTAAGTGTGTTTTAAGAACTGCCCATTGGTGAGTAGAGGTGGCAAAAAATGTGTAGAATAACTGAATAGTAGAAAAAGATCAGCTTCTTCTGAACAACAATTACTGTCTTATGTCCTACAAGATTAAGTAAATGTGCAGTATATGATATAAAAATGACATATTCATTACATTATGAAATTTTCTGTTGCATACCTTTATAATGCCCTGACATATTGGCAACATTGTCATAGGTCTTTTTTTAAGCACTGGTCTCTGTGCTTAAAAAATCAATTTTACCAACTTCTTATAAATAGTGAAGTACTCGATTTGCAATTTCTTTATTGATATGACTTTTTAAACTAATAAATACGATAAATTGCTTGACAGGTTTTCTTTCTGTTGGACATATCTGGAAACTGTACTTAGCTGACCTGTATGAGAAAGATCAGAAGTGAAATCTACAGGGAGAGTGAAATATCAAGCTATACTTATTTCACTAAAAATAGTTGATCAAACTTTATTACTTACTAAGTTTTTTAATTCCTTACATGTTATTTTAGGCATATACGAAGGGTTGCCCTGTCTTGGGTTACCATATTTTGAGATGTGAACTCTTAAAAATGGATCAAACTGAGCAACAAGTTCTAATAAACACCCAAAAATTCCATTTTATGAGGACCCAAACACTTCATTTCTTCCTGGAAAAAATAGTCCACATTTAGCTACTGTTAGTTATAATGACAATAACAATGCGTTGCAAAATGGCTTTCCAATACGGACGTTCTTCATTAATTTGTCTTTCCATTTTATGAATTAAATCAAAACCATGTCTTTGGTTTAAATATGACAACACAATCTCTGTGAATTGAACTGTTTTCATGTTTATTGATCATATTCAAGTTATACCAATAGCTAAATCCATCTGTAACAAATTGAGAATTAAATTATTTAGGACTGAATAGTTTGCAAACAAGGCAGTATACAGAATGGAGAATACAGTAACTACTTCTTCTTATAATTTTCACCATTAGCTTTGCATCCTAGAAATAATTTCTGGCTACAGAACCTTGTTTGTTTACCATCCAGAAATTTTTCACATGACTTTTCAAATGGTCCATTATGATGTTGATAATCTCTTGGTCCTCTTTTAATCCAGTAATTTACATCATTAGAAGATAAATTAGTCGACAAAATGGATCTATAGTCCT